TAGTGGTAAATGTATTTATGAAGTCCTTGAAAGTAAGCAAAACAACCCGTTGTAACCATTTGCCATTTAATGGTTTGAATAAACATGTTTTATCAATTTTTCTATGTTATTATGTAAATTTGTCGTATCTGTAATACTTTAAATTCCGAATTCATCTTCTAAAGTCTACCTTAAGCTAAAAATATCAAAACAAATATATGATCGCTGACCTATGTAGAATGACCTAACCTCCGTTACGAAATTACTCCTTTTTCATTTGAACACTGGATATGTGTGTGCTCATTGATCAATGCTAATATCATAATAGATTGATAGCACTTTGTTCATAAACAAATAGTATGATAAAAAAGCAAGTCCGTCCCCAACGATTAATAAAATATTTAAATTGGAATATCTCAGCCTTTGTATTTATAGAAAACGTGCCACTTATTACCAATGTGTTTGCATCGCATTTTCTATAATTGAAGAGAAATCTTAAATGGGCAATAATATTTTGAATACATACAAATTCTTAATAATTGAATTAAATATGGAGCCTGTGACCTTTGGCATGATTGAAATATAACCTAATTTAGATGTTACCTAACCTCTGTAACGAAAAAAATACTGTACCATGTTTACACGTGCATGTTTCTTTAAATACAGTAATGGTGTGGGTTAAAATTCTTCTACTACTTTCTGAATACCTCTTCATCAAAATAATATAAAAAAGTTTTCCAGTTTTGCAAAGTTCATATTGCTGCATTTCTTGTTTTGGAATTGTACCCCTTTTCGTGGAATGGCTGTTTTGCATTAAAATTAAGAATACCCTTAACTTCTTTTAACTGCTTTAATTTGCAGATTTCTCTTAATATGCATTTGACTATAAACTCTGCACAATCTAAGAATTGCAATTCACTATGTCAAATCATTTTCTTTTCATTTTAACATATTCAGATGACCTCGAAAGAAAATTTTACTAGTGAAAGTACTTAAAATTAACACAGGGATTACCTGCATTTTTGTACTAAGACGTGAAAAGAAAAACATAGTAAAAAGAATGTTATTCATAAGATATCTATGTGAAAAAGAGAGCTGTACCTCTGTGTGGAACTTGTTATCACACAAGTACAGGGAGGTGTTGATGGGCCTGAAGGGTTCAAAGTCAATGTTCACTTTTCTTTCTTTCCCATCATCAGTGACTATTGTTCCACAGTAGATCACCAAACCATTGGGAGGGACTGAAAAGACAGAAAAAAACACCAACTTCTATAAAACTGTTACATTTAGTCCCCAAGACACTGACAGGTGGTATTAGAATTTATATCTTACTAACATTACAATTAAGTCTAACAAATTGACTTCATAATTACTAAAATTGAACACGATTTTTTAGTCATCCAATTTTATATCATTTGAAATCGGAAAAAAATTTAATTACTTTTTTATTGTAATAATATGAAGATCCATTCTTTAACATCAATATATGAACTACAGAGATGAAATAGAATTCATTTTCCCACATCTAACGATGAAGCATCAAGAGAATGACCTTTTAAATCATAAACATCAATGTGATTAAAGGAACATAGCAAAAACAGTGACTATATTAAACAGCAACACAAGGATTCTATATTGAAAACTTATGGTTTGTTGACCTAGGCTGGTAAACAAAGATTATTTGATCTTCCAGCCAGGTATTCCATGGGAAAATAATGACTTGCCGTACTCACTCTTAGAACAGTTTTGTTTGGATCATTTAATTTTGGTCACTTGGCCATTTTATTCTTCAGTTGTTCATCAAATTATTTTGGAGGTTTAATCAGTGACAATTAAGTAGAAAATAGTGTTACATTTCCATTCTGATCATAGTAATTAATAAATTATAATGATCTTTAGTTTAATCCATGCATGATAATGTCACACATTGTAAAACGTTAAAAGATTTCAACCACCTTCAATAATTGTTATGGCTAAATATGTTGACGTGATGCCCATACTAATCAAAACTCCATCTGTTAATATTTCAGCTAACTCCTTGCCACATTATATCAATTATTGAACAAAGCAAAACTGTAATGCCTAAAGCATAAAAAATTACTTTTCTGTTTAATATAACCTGGATATTAGCTTACCTTTTGTGTACAGCTTCAGTCTCTGCTGTACAGATGTGATAGCACTTAATACTGACAACCTGTTCACTCTGCTCTTTATATTGGAGGCGGTTCCAAACTCATCAGCCAACATTTTTGCCACCCTGGAAATTTGGTCTTTGGGTGGAATAATGAGAGAGATCATGCTGGTGCCATTGCTAGGTTTAAAAAAAGTATATTGTCAGGGTAAAATTCATAACAATACTTGATAAATCAAACTTAAAGAAAATTGTTTTACCCTTGAAAATATGGACAGATCATTTTTCAATAGTTGTTATTGTTATGGACGTAAACAAAAGGGTAGGTGGTTGTAGATATGTCAACTTATATTAAGTAGACTTTGACAAGATTAAAATAATAAGGCATTCACAGTAATTCTACCACCTTAACATCTTTAAGTCTCTTGAAAAATTTTTGACTGTTAAAATGTTAAAAGATTTATAAAAGGGAACAACATATATTGCAGAGCTGCCCCCACACTGATTATTCGACTTTGATTAAATACCACGAGCTCTTGAAAAATAAACATTCCAGAGAGTGAATTTATCAGAAAAAGTGGGTAGGGTGATTGTACAACACTCTTTTCTGTGACAAATTACAATGAAAAATGAAAGTCCATTGTTTCAGATTTCATGTTCCTCTTCCATTTGACATCATTTCTTCTGTAAAACCTTTAAGTCTTTTAACATGTAAAAATCAAAGTATATTTGCGACTGATCTTAAGTATCTATGACCTTTCTTGATTGGCAATTATGAAATATTTTCAGCTTCACTTCTGATGAAAAACATATGGCTAAACTACTGGGACATGTTGTGATGTGGCGACCTGTTGGGACGGATAAAAATTCAACTTTACCCTCTCGCAGCTTCCAAGCTTTTGATAAGTTTCTTGATCTTCCATATCTCTACGTTCCTGTCTGCGCTCGTTTCTCCGTTGGCAGACATCTTCTTAGTTTTGTTTTGAGTCTCTGAAAACTTCGATCACTGACTAATTTCCAACTTCGCAGTATTCACAATTTATCAAAATGGCGCGAATGGCCCTCAGAAAGAAGACCAAATTTGGCCTAAATTCTATTAAATCTTTGTTCTTTCTTGTTGATTTAGTTAACCCGAGTAATCAGATTGTAAACTATAATAGATTTTCGTAAAATTTAAAATGTACAAAACTCTTTCACAACCCTTGTGCAACCGCATACACTGTGTGATCTTCCTTCACCATGTGAATCGTACGGCCGTGTCGTCACTTCCTACTACGCACCCTAACTAGTATTGGCAAAGCTGTTGTGATTGGATTAAATTCTTTAAGTGAGGTGTGTCAATTTATCCCTTTAATGTTTATCTAAAAGAATATGCAACTTATTCAAATATAAAAATTGTGTAAAAACAATATATTTATATCCAAGTGTTAACAGTTTACAATTCACATCGAGTATAGTAAGATCAAATGGTGTTTTTTTGGACTAGGAGGAGATACATACAGCCAATCACAGCCGAGATAATATATCGTTAAGAAATGGTTTGCCACTCGCCCTCTATAAGTATGTCAGCGCCCATGTAGCACGCGTGTACAACTAAGATATGACTGGAGCACACTGCGGTATATGAACAGAAAATATTTCTTCAACACCGATGGTAGAAAACGTGAAACGCAGCGGCAATACATGTATATTTCTTCTATGTGGCTTACCAGGTAGCGGTAAGACGACGCTGTGCAAGCGTCTTTTATCAGAAGCAGCCAAATGTCAACAGAAGTCAGCTGAGCTGAACCTGAAGTTGTACCATGTATGCTATGATGAACTGCTGCCGGTGGACACAGAAAGAACGATACTACAGACAGTGTCCGAGGAGGTTGGCCATAGTGGCTATTTTTAATTAATAAAGTTAATATTAACGGATATTAAAAAATAAATAGCTATATATTTTAACTCATTTTTCAAACCTTAATTGCCACTACTTGACTTGGGTACAAATGTACATGTAATCATAGAAGTAGAGAAAGACTTCTTTGATGTAATTTATAATGTCAAGAAAAGAGGTGTTTTCAGAATAACGTTTGTGAAAATATTTTATTAGATAACATGTTTAAAAAAAAAAAAATTCCCAATAATTTCAACCTTGGCAATATTAGTGCATGGAAAGGGCTGAACCATTCTAATTCAAATAATCCTACTCTACAAATTGAATTCTTATTAACTCACATTTTCATTTAGTCTCTGTTGTTTGAATCTTGAACACAAATGAATATATGAAGACAAATTAGAAAGCTGGAGTGTGGTTATTTGGACTACATCTTGACACTGCTATTAAATAGATATTTACTCATACATGTATATCTTTGCATTGACAGAAACAAAATATGTTTCAGGGATGTTCACAGTGGAAGAAGTACAGAAGGAATATAATAAAATGTCTTGACCAGAAAATAGCATCAATTCTTGGTGTATCACAGGGAAGAGAAAGTGAAATTCCTGCTGAAATTCAATTAAGATTTGAACAATTACAAGGAATCAAAAGCTATTCTGAATTGGATAAGACAAACCATGTCTTTTTGATTGATGACAATCTTTACTATAGAAGTATGAGATATGAATATTACCAGCTGGCAAGAAAATGTAAGAGTAATTAGGTACAAATAAAATCACTCAGTAGATTGATATATTTGTGAAATTTTAATCATAACAAGCTATTAAGTATTTTTTTAAGGAAAGAGTTGAGTGTGCTAATTTATTTCACTGTTGTGTTTTCACTATTGCATATATATATAATTTCTTGGTACTTTTCATATTCTGCTTTATTTTATTTTTGCTTCAAAAAGCATTTATTGTCCATATCAAGTTCCACTTTTACAACTGTGTATTTGTACTTAACAATGAAGCATTAATTTACTTGTTGAAGATGAAATCGGCTTTGGTGAGGCGTACATCAGTTGTGATGTAGAGACTGCATTACAAAGAAATCAGACAAGAGAGCAAGCCATCCCTGAAGAGGTGATAGTAACCATGGCAACAAGATTGGAGCCACCGGACCCCGAGGAGGCATGGGAACAGAACAGTATTGCTTTAGACGAGTTTTCTTCTTCAGTGTGAGTATACTTGCTTGTAAACGTGTTTTTGTGTAAATTAAATGGGGACGGAGTATTTGAAATTTTGAAACTTGTTCTTTACTTTACTTGTAGGATTAAATTCATTTTCTTAAAATGGAAGTTCATTAATACCTGTTCCATAAAAATGACTTGTTAAGTGAGACTGTTAATTTTATATTTCATAATTTTCTTCATTACAGTGACTCTGTTCTGCAGTTTATGAACCATGTACTACACCACCCAGTACAGAGGCCTCCAGAGGAGGATATGACCATGAAGGAGGAGAGTCGGATCACATGCTCTGAAAATCTAATTCATCAAGCAGACCAGATATTAAGGAAATTGATTGGACTACATATTGCATTGAAAAAAGGTAGGGGTGTGTGGTTTGTACTAGTACATTACAAAGAAGAGATTACCATGGTTTTTATACTAGTTAAAATATCTATTTTTACATGATATCATGTAGGATTAGAAATATAAACGTTGAGAAATATCACTAATTTATTAGGGCATTTAAACAAGTTGCACCAATGATTTTACTTTTTTTACAAAATAACTATTTTTTGTGCAATTATTACAGTATTTCTTTATAATTTTTTTCAGAAACTCAAACACATATACCTGAAGGCATTAAAACATTTGCTCAAAAGCTTAATGGACTGAAAAGTGAAATTCTCAAAGACTTGAAGACTGGTGTACTACTGGTGCCCTCTGGTGTGGAATCTCAGGTGGTGAACGCCAGTAAAAACATGGACTGCGCATTCCATACTTTTATACAGGACATATTTCACAAAAGAGCAGCTTATCTTCAAGGAAATAATAGCTGATACAGGCTGGCAAAGCAAGTACTTGTTCAGCTTTTAATTGAGGTCTTTAAGGGATTTTTTATTGTAAAGAGTGATCATTATTGCACCGATTATCAAAGTGAATATCAGGAATTAAGGTTGACTGCTGTGTAAATCAAAGAATGCAACATGAATGATAAAATATTTATTGTCAATAAATGGCCTTGTTGTTTGTTGTAGTTTTATTGAAATACCTGGAAAAAATGACACCCAAGATAAATTCAAGTGTCTCTGTTGTTTTAACAGGGTTAAAAGTGTTATTAAGTATTGTGAATATGTGCAATGACACTGAAAATGAACTTAATTTTGGTCTGAAAGTACCACTCATATAGTTAGCAAGAAGCATGACGTGTGTATAGAGGCAGATTCTTTTCAATTTCCAATCCAAATAAATTTGCAAAGATGGACAGTGATTTGTAGTAGTGTGGCTGCATACCAGATGCTGGGCATTTTGTTGAAAAATTTTGTGATCATTGAGACCAAAAAAAATCTGCACATTTGTGATACATTCCACAGCATTTAACATAAGAATGATATAACTACATAAGTCAGAATGACAACTGCTGTTGAAAGATATAATCTGATATAAAACTACCATCACTTTGAAACTTGACTGAGAATGAAACTTAATAAAAATTAAAAGGAATAGCAAACCAAATATTCAATGTCAATCTGACATTTTTATTTGTTTGACCTGAGCTTCACTTTAACATAGTTTACTCACTTATTTACATAATATCAAAATACATTCCTGTTTTCTTTTTTCTCTGTAAAAACACATTGTTATTTTTTTACCACAAAAATCCTCTATGACATTAGTGTAGCACCCCAGCGAAACATTCAAATCACCAGTTTGTAATGAACTGACACGTCTATACTACAACTGTTGAAGAACTAACCAATTAAAACATACTGAATAATTCGTCTTCAGTTATGGAGAATTCATATTTAAACAAAAACCCACTTTCAGGTTTGAAACAGTCTCACTGATCACCCTGCACCAGGCACAGCAATGTGAAAATTCCACTTACAAACTGATTTACTTCAGTTTTCCGTTTAAGTATAAGCTAGGTCTTATGTGCAATGAGGGGGTATGAGCAGGCAACATTTAAGAAACGAAATTGCTTTTTGTCAAACCTCACACTGTAACTTTGATACTTTCAGCATTTTAAACTGGCCATGTTCAAGTGTAGTAAAGGAGAGAACAGCTTGTCAGTGCTGTTCACTAGACGTTAGTGGATATCTTTTAACATGTAGTACATCTCTAGATTACAGAATAGCTGTCACAGTTCACTGCTGTTGGCTGTTCTTCTGTAGATACCTCCTCCTAGCATTCTCTAACAAGGCTTGTTTCCTGTCGTTCAGGGACAATGTCCTCTCCTGAGGTGAGCGTGAGAATGATTTAGCAGCATTTGAGGAAGGCTGGAAAGGAACAAAAATAAATACAAAGTTAAATGACAATTATCATTTGTGAAACGGTGCATATTTCTAGTCTTTGGAAAATGTGGCTATATTTTGTATTTTAACCTTCGGGTTGCAATTGTACTGAATAAACTCAAGATAATTTATTATTATAATGATGGAGTATAAATGGTGCTTATTGTGAGCAAGGTACGCTTGGATAAAATAACTTACTGAGACTGGGGTTGGTTTGACCTGGGGTCTAGAACTACTCTGTGTTCTCTCACTCTCTGGCTCATACTTTACTCTGCCTTCTAGTATGTTAGTTATTGTAGTGTCTACATCTCGTGTTGTTCCTGAAATTAAATGATTGAACAAGTTTTATATTAATGAGCCCAAATCACCCTGAATGGTTTAGGGTCACAATATTATGACATTTTCGTTCTTTAATAATAATGTTTTCAAAAGATGTAAAATTAATCAAACTGGCTTTGTAGCTTCAAAACAATATGTTTCTAGTTTCATTTGTTATGTGTTCAATATACAGAGTTTGTTTAGTTTCTAATAACAATAAAACTATGGATTCAACATCTTATAAATGTTTCTGGTCATTTGTAGTGGCAATGATGGTATATAAATGACTACAGTAACTATAAAGTTCCATTTGAAAATAATAAAAGTACAACAAAACCAGAGTTTGTCTATTCAACTTGCCTAAATCTCTCTTGATAACTTCAATAGGGACATGTGGCAGAACCTCTCTGACTTGCATAGCCATGGTGTGGAGCCTGGTGTCAGCCCCAGGACTAGACGGAGGGGCAACCTGTGATGACTGACTTTGTTGATCAGTGGCTTTTCTACTGTTGGTGGAAGAGTCTGCAGGGCATAGAGATATAAACGATGTTAGTGTAAGTGGATTAAAAAAACATACATTTCCTGTAAAAAGCTCTGGGAAGTACTCAAATATGGACCGTTTAATTCAGTTTACCAAACATTTACATGCAAGAAAATTATTCTCACAATTTTATATTCATCCAAATGTCTTTTTTGATGCAAATTACTGGACCATAATGTCTTTATTATCTCGAATCAATACATCTTTACATTTCATTGCATATTACATTTCTTAGCATATTAAGTTGAACTGTAAGTCTGTTAATACCAAAAACCATGTGTTTACTTTCAATAAAAAACTTTCAAATATTTTTAGTCAGCACCTTATAAGACCAAGCAACAAATCACAGGCAAACCAATTGTGAAACGTGGTTCCCACCTGGTTGAACAATCAATTTCCTTTTAGCATATTCTACTTTATCAGCACTGGAAAAATTTGTAGCCGTGATCCCGAGTTCTTCGGCCATCACCTGTTGCACCCTTTTAGTGAAGTCCTCTACACTCTCCTCATCCTGTGCCTCCATTGTGGGGAGGACTCTGTCAATGAAATTTTGAAAAGCCTGAAAGTTTTTTCTTTCTTTTCTGACGTATATATACATTGGTGGAATCATTTGAGTAAGTACAAAAATAAGTTAAAACCATCTTAAAAACCATCTTTAAAAAATTAAATGAGAATTTGTTAATATGAACACAATGACAAGAGGTGAAAAAGACCTTTGGTCAGGCCACATGAAATGTAAGCACTGATCTAAGATCCTACTGTTTTCAACTTACTGGCAGCACTGTAAAGCAAACATGGAAAGTATAAAAACTCATTTCACTAGATTACTTCCTGGAAAATGATTTGCTTTTTAACTTACTTAACTTACAACAGTGTGCTTTAAAATATTCTGTGCCTATTGGAATATGAAATGTGCTAAATCTATGTGACCAACCTTAATTTGAAGTGCGTGTATGGCACAAACAAAGACCAGAAAACATCCAACCACCATCTGCCACCCAGAACAGACTGGAAATAGAAAAGTCCACAAAATATACTATCAACAGTTTTCTTTACACCTAAAAAATATCATAAGTAAGATTTCCTCTAGGGGAATTATTCTGAAAAAAAAAATGACTTAAAACATCCACTATCACATATGGATTCAAATTTCTATTAAATTTCAGTCAAATTCATTTAACCTGATAAAGAAATTAAATTCGATTAAGAGTTCTGAGTAAGATACTCACAGCTGCAATAGGAATGGGCCTCTGAACACTGATAAGAATCTGAAAATTATGAAGAAAAGAAGGCATTAACTTGCTTTGTTGATGTCAAATCTGAAGTATATGTTGCATTCACTTAGATGATTTTAAATTAGGAAATGTAGTATCTAAAAAAAATAATACTTAATATAATACTCACAGGCTGAACAGGGTCTTCTAAAGAAAATGGCCAGACACTGAAACAAAACAGAGTTGAAAAATGATCAAAATAAAAATTCAGTTACTTTTTCTTTTCTTCATGCTAAGATGTATAAAGTCTGCCTAATTTCAGTAGAACTAAAACAACTTATAAAGGTGATAGGAGAATAAAGAACTTGAATATCTTACCTGAATTTCAACATTCCTACTTTACCATTGGTAGAAGCACCTTCAGGATGAGCTAACACTGGTAGGTTTGACTCTGAAGACAAATGATAAATGTTTAGCTTTCTGTCCCTTGACTTATAGTCTGATCAAGTTTTGCACAAGTGTGTGGGCGCATGTGAGCGTATCTGCATGTGCATCATCTTTCAATTCAACAATAACAGGACACTTGTATTTGATATAGCCAATAACTTAAAAGATGTTCTACAAAAAAAATTATTTATAAAACCTGATTATGAAAACCAATAACTTAAAAGAAGTTCCACAGATAAAATTATTCATAAAACCTGATACTGAAAACCAAAATCAATTTTCTGCTGTGTTTATTAACATTGTATGAAGAAATCTAATGTTCATCAAAATATATATAATTCCAATCATATTAACAAGTAATTACCCAATAAATGTTTCTTAGCATTGCGAATGAGTATATCCCTCCCTTGTTTTACTCCCATATTGCTATAGCCAAGCATCCAATTCAGCAATGGAGGAAGATCCCAAACACTTGGCTACAAAAGAAAAACTTTAGTCTAAAGGAGGGTTCTACGCAGATTCAACCAACTCTTTTGAGGCTCTTGCTGAATGCAGTCAGATGAACTAAATGACATGCTTCCTCAAGCAGCAATGGGGTGGCTTTTGTGTGCATATGGTTCCACTCAAAACGAAGTGCAAAACCTTCCAGAGTTCGAGCTCACATGAAAGTTAATCACCCCTTAGATGTCTGAAGGGTTGTGTCATCAATTTATCTGACTGCATTCAGCATGAGTCCCTGCAAAGTTGGATTATTCTACAAAAAATATATTTTCAAGGGAAATGCATCTGAAGTTAGGTTTAAAGCTGTGGACAAAGCAAAGCATAATAATTTATGAAGCTACTAACATTTGCTGAACATTATAAAGATAAATGCATATCCAAAGTAAATTGCACATAGTTCAAAGTAAAAATATTTTTGAAAATCAATCTACATCTTGCAATCAGTATACCAGATCCCTATTAGCAAGGCATCTCCCCAATCACAGCACTGACAAAGTAATGTATCTTTCTATCACTATCAAATTGACTACTGTCACAGTTAAGATACGTTACCATGATTGCTGGATAAACCAAATCCACTGCTGTTCTGTCAAAGGAGCTGACAAAATTTGTGACAATCACTTTGCACCTTTTGTCCCTGTTTTCTGGGTTTGTGACAGTGACAACAATTCCCAATATACCATACATCACTCGAAAAACACAGCTGAAAAAAAAAAAAAAAAACAATTTTGTCTTAAGTAGCAAAAGTGATGCAAATTCCACTGTTACAAGTTGATACACATATATCTCACTACTGGAAATAATGCACACCTGCATATTTTGAAACAGTAAAGCAGCTCATCATAAAATTTTACAAAATTTATTTTGAACATTTACCCCCTTTATAAATGTTCTATCTTCATATTCTATTCTCACATCACAGACCCGACATAGTTACCTTCTAATAATGCTGGACTTAGGAAGAATACATGATATGACATATGTATGTAATCCAATGAAAAATCTGAGTACAGCAAGCAGCAATCCAACAGGGAAATACAGAACAACCCCAATTACACCAGCTCCAGAAGGAAACCTAAAAAATTCATTTTGCAATGATTCAAAATATTTTTATACATCATATGACTTTTCCTTGGCCTCTACTGCTTTCAGAGAGAAAGCAAAGGGCAAATAATGACTTAGTAAAAGTTATAACAACAGCATATTACTTATCGTTAATGTTAAATACATTCATCAAATTTCGGGGTGCCTACTATTTACTACAGTCTGACATATTTCAAAGAGTATCACCTGGAGTCATTGAACAGATCCTCTATTCTCACTTGAGACATGACTGAATCTGCAGATCTCACCATTAAAAAAAGGAAAAAATGGCTTTCTTAATTAAAAAGACCGTAATGCTATACAACAAAAACTTCATCCAGAAATTTTATGGTCACAGGAGGCGGCCATGATTGCTTAAAATTTTTACTAAATTTTGACAGAGTACCGTAAACCGGAGCGAGATTAAGAAAACTGATATTTGATAGATAAGTCATGCGATCGAATACTTCAATTTTTAATACTACTTAAGGCTTAATTTGCTCAAATTATTTCATAAACTTATCAACAATTTGATTATTCTTAGTATATTTGCCACTGTCGTTCCGCATTGCATTCTTGACTAATGGACCCTCAAAGCGGTGCATGTGAACACTCTGTGAACGGTGCGTGTGAAGCAAGTGAATGAAAAGAGAAAAATAAAGAAATACAGTTACCCAAATGTTTCAAGGCATATGTGGTTTGTGCTGTTTAAAGTAGAGTTCTCAAAACACAGAGTTTTGTGCTTAAAAAGCGACAGTGGAGTTTAAATATTAGTCCGTTTCTGCAAGGTGGGTGCAGTGTCCCGCAATGGAAACTGGAGCTGAGGAGGCTTCAGAAATGATTTGAGGATAAAACAAGGACTGTGATATGCTAAATTTTAGTTCTAAGGTCAGTTTGTTGCGAGACGGAAAGGGCAGCTATGTTGAATTAATTTTGTATGCAATATTATTTACAGACTGCTTTTTCCACCTTCAGTGAGACTGGTTCCTAGTTTACAGAGCTCAGCAGTTTTTATCTCGCCAGTTTTGCCGCTCTAACCAGCCCAAGTTGGGATATGCAAATGGCATAAATTCAGTGGTGTACCCTGAGTACCACAGTCCTCCAAGAACGTACATGGTCATGTACATCTAGGATCCTGATATTCACTTAAGCCATTTAGTTGTCATAGCAGGTGAGTAAAGGTGAACATGTGATGCAGAAAAGTTCTTGTGAGCATTCCTATTTACACATTTGATATGTGCAAAATTTGCTATCACATGAAAGATGCAGGTGCACATAACTGTCAAATGCCATTCAGCTAACTGTCCACCCCAGTGTGGAAGCTTTCATATATTTTTCTTACTTCTCACAACAACAACTTACACACTGCTGAAAAGCCAGTCAATTTTTTTGTAATCAGTTCTGTTGGACTTTACAGGTGGATGTGAAACGGGTTCACGCTGCCTTTTCTTCCTGACAATGAAAAAACTGCCATTATTTATAAATTATAAGGCACTTTAAATTTTGGCAGTGAAATACTTTATGGACTTGAGAATAGGCATGCAGGACATTTTCTCTCTCTCTCTCTCTCTCTCTCTCTCTCAAAAAAATGGAAGTATAACAATGAGCATTATTTGAATTAGAAATAAGATATTGTTTCATATATTCTTTTAATGTACAGGAAGGGTGTTCACTTTGGCACAACTGATTGTTTGCTGTCCATAATAGATATACTCATGTATTTTCAATCCCTCCCATGACTGACTCTCAGACACATAATTTAAGGTTAATTAGTAAACAGTCTATATTTATTGCTTCTTGGAAACAAATCTATACATTTTTCATTTCAAATGTGTATTTTTTTCAGGTAGTTGCATCATTATAGGATCCATTAAACACAAATTAACTTGATAGGTTTAACAGTTGTGCTGCAAATATATAGGGACTGACATTTTGATAAAGAATACCAAATATATTGAAAACTGAATCATATATAAATGAACATGTGTGTACATATTTATTATGAGTGTTTATCTTTTACTGCAGGATGCTAACAAGAATATTCACATTGTCACTTAAAAAATAATTGTTGTGTAGTAAAGTTTTCCCTTTTACATGTATTTTTCAGTCCCCATAAAAATGGCCAGCTGTATTACCTGTGGTGAAAGTGACTTCCATTACATGGATGGTCACTACTTCTGTGTCCACTGCCAAACACAGTCACAGGTAAGGGGCTAGAAAAAGAGTGGAAAAAATTTCTATTATGCTGTCACCCCAGTGCTGCCTCCAACTTTGATATGTTTTGCAATATAACTGATTGTTACTATGCTCTTTGTCAGGTGTGACCACTGTCATTAAGCCATGAGCTAAATATTCCACATATATACGTTCAAATTATGAAATATCAAAGCCCCCTTTAGCCTGCATTTAAAGTTTTTTGTCAATTTAAAACTTTTATCCTCATGTTACTATAGGATTTTAGAGAAGAAGAAGCAGAGGAAGAATTTGGAGCCCAGTCATACAGCTTACTTGTATCAAGTTCACAGCAAAAAGAGACAGCCAAACAGAAAAAGAAAGGTTATTTATTTTCCATTTTAAGAAACTGTTTGTTTGTTTGTTTGTTTTTTCTAAGATGGTTACACAAAAATTGAAGATTTTTTTAAAAATATTTTTGTATAAATGTTCCTGTCCATCCCCTGGGCTGTGAAGGTGGTAGGTCTCCAAGCATTCGCTAATGTAACCACAATCAAGTACAATGGGCTATAATTCTCTTGACATTTCCTGTTGAATGATTATTATTTGTGCACACAGTTTGTGCAGTTCAGCATGTCTGATGTAAATATACTTTAAACTTGCAAAAACACTCATTTTTTGCTTCTTCCTCATGGGATAATACATGTATGTATCACATTCTTTTTATGTACAGACACAGATGTGTCTGTACATATAGCCATCATCTGCGTCTGTCGTCGCCGTCGCCGTCGTCGCCGTCGCCGTGCACTTTGACCGATAACACGATAAGTGGAAAACTGTTTTTTCTTTTGGCTTCAAACTTACAGAACTGATGAATATACATAATACGCAGGTCAAGTTCGAAAATCAGCATGATCGGGTCNTTTTATAAGTGATAGTGAATACCAGTTCCTATTTCTTTACTCTTTCAGTTGACAGAGGAAGACCATGGTCGACTACAGAGGCTTTCCAATTGATAATAAAAGAACAAGTCAAATCTTTCATAAGTCTAAATGCTCCAGCCCAGCTTCAGGTAACAAAGTCTATCGCATGGCTGTGTCTGATTTCGTTGGATTATGTTCTTCACAGATGGGTGGATTTATTTCATTGACAACAAAAGTTATTGAAATTACATGCCAAAGGAAAATGGGGCTCTTCAAAGCAACCACAAAATTCTCAAACAAACCTCAAATATTATTGATATTCATATGATTGATGTCTTCAGTTGTTAAAAAATGCTCTCAGTGTTGTAGAGCAGAGGATAGATGTCAACTGTGAGTTATAACAAAAAGAGGTGTGTAAAAACTCGAGTTTCTTACTGGCTGATATACTTCTAATGTAGCTGACATTCTCACATAGTCCAAAAAAGGTGTGTTCAACCATCCTCTTTCTGATTGGTTACTGTAGCATTCATAGGCTCGTGTGTGTTGGTAACGAAGTGGGTGTGTTCAAGTTTGTGGTTTTTCATTGGGCCATTAAGCCTCATGGAATCTGTACTCATTGGTTTCAAGAAAGAGGCGTGCTCAGTTATGGGCATTCTGATTGGTTCCTTAAAGCTCATGAAAGTGTTCTCACATCAATGGAACTTGGCTTGTGTATTTATTATTATTTGTTTATTACCATTATACCACTGTATCTATCCTAGTTTCTTCAATCACACTGTTCTCTGTCGTCATTATTGATGTGAATTCCACGTGCAGCATGTGTTGTTGTAGTCGTTTGAAGGAAATGCATTCTATTTGTGTAAATTATCTCAAAACCTGTAATTCATTTCAGGACATCGTTTTTCGGCTGTGGGCATTATATCTGTCCAAGGTTGGGATAGCTTTTACAGAAATCTCCAGAAATCCTCAGAAAATAGTTAATCCAAGGCATAGGTGAGGTTAGGTTCTTAAGATGTGAACCATATAGCAACAGAATAAAAAATGAATAAAACTAAAATAAAGAAACCCCAAACCCAATTTTTTAAGATAATGATGAAGCTGTCTGTTCCATGTCAGTTCTTCATTCATTTCTGTTTTATAGAGACAAATATCCTGCTACACTTGAAAACCCAGAAATAAAACCCCGGAGATACAGGAAAACATGGTGTAAGTCACAGGGCCATGATGGAAAGACCCCAGAAGAAAGAATAGTTGAACCAGTAAGTATGCACGTGACACTCATCAATCTGCAAGCCTGCAATTATCACATCCTCTTTTTCTGAACTTCTCATTTTAATTATCACTTTCTCCTTTTTTTATTAAAGTTTTTATTATAATTTTCTCTTTTAAGATGTAAAGATGGCCTTAAGTTTTTTCTGTGATTGAGTCAATTTCTAATTAAGAGAATTAGATTCTAGCCCCATTCCCCTAGAGTATTAATTTTTTTGTTTGTTTGTTTTTTTTTTGTTTGTTTGTTTTTTTTTGTTATTTGCTGCCATTAAGTATGCAGGTGACACTCATCAGCCTTCAGGGCTTCAATTATCACGTCCTCTTTAGCTTCTTATTAATTTCAGTTGATTGTCACTTTCTCATTTTCCTTCTTATTAGTTTAGTTTGTATTATGATTTTCTTGTTAAATTTGACCTTTATGTTTTTCTGTAATTGAGTCAATTTATAATTAAGAGATTTTAATTAGAATCTAGGCTGATTTACACAAAGTATTAATTATAATTCTCTCTCTCTCTCTCTCTCTCTCTCTCTCTCTCTCTCTCTCTCTCTCTCTGTAATTTGCTGCCATGGCTCTAATATTGAAATGAAAGTTTTTAAAAAATAATTTTGGTCTTTTTTTATTTGACCTTGTGGACAATCAAAGATGTGTCTGTTTGAGGTGAAAGTTGTCTTGGGTTACCTGTAAACATGCAGTACAGGTCAAGGGTGAACATGAGTGTGATGTAATGAAACATTTTTGATAATCATGGTCTTGTTTAAACATGCTCTTTTAAGTAGAAGTATAAGGCTAGACGGTCAATGTTACAGAGATTAAAATATCTTGTTTTTCTTGAAATTGACACATTCTTGCAACAAAGTTGTATCATGAGATTAGTATTTTCATATTTTTTATAACATAAATTACCAGGAACTTCAAGAAACCCTCCAGAATGAGGAGTTCTATGCTGAAGACAACCCCCTTGAGGAGGAGGAGGAGGGTGATGAGGAGGAAGAGTCTTCTGGGAGTGGGTCCAGTTTGGAAGATGAGGATGACAGGGTTGAAGGAGGCGAGGAGCAGAATGAGGAACAGGGGAAAGTTTTACCAAAAAGAGTTGCCAAGGTATGACAGAAAACATAAATGCACAGATCTAGTGCTTTAGATAAATATGTGTCCTCCATCCCAAATTACCACAATCATTGTAACCATCATTCACATCAAGTAAACAACTAACACAGTATAGATCAAGATTGGGCCAATCAGGGCTGCTTTAATTATATACTAGTAACCTCACTAATGATTTGTCTTGAAAACTTACTTTGACATTGTAACAAATCATTGCCTGTATTAAATATTATGACCTTAGGGATTAAAAGTAGATATTAGATAAGACTAATGATCCTAGGTATCAGGATGTAATGAGTCAGCATAAGCTGTTATTATTTACAAACAATTCAGCTACTGTTTCATTTGTGGGAATACAAAGAGGCCATATATAACCCATTTTATTTGTTTATGCATGCATGTGTGAGTGNGTTATTGTCTGCTTTTTGTCTGTACATTTGACAGCTTTGCTGCCTTGTTTCTGTATAGTAAATATGCCAACACCAGGAAGCTATTTTCAAAAGTGTACACTGTTTAAACTGTTTGGTTGTCTTTTGTAGCACAGTAAAACGACATACAGGATAGAGAAGATGACTCTAACCCTGACTATAAGTTTCTGCTATCTGGGATTACTGTACAGCAAGTGTCAAGTTGTGGCCTCTGATTTTGTGAGGTACGTGTAGGTGGCAGCACCTTGGGGGTTGTGGTACCACCAACCTGAACCTGACAGTTTTGGGGGTCAATCAGTGCACTTGCACAGGTGTGGTACATGACACAGTGCACTGTTGTCAAAAATGTTCAAAATCAAATGTGAAATATATCCAAAAACCGAACGCAATGTCAAAAAGGTGCTACAGTAGTGTGATCAAAAGTTAGAGGGATAACAACTCTTCGTGAGATATCTATATTTCACAATAAATACATTGTAAACAACTCAAGCAACTATAACGTATATTCTATTTTACCACAAAAATGGCAGTTATGGCAGTAAATCTGAAATCTAGATCTGTGCTAGCCATCCAACCACGTGACCTCCATAGATGGCTATACTCTGTAATAATCTCTTAAGAGATTATTACAAAAAAAAACAAACTTTTTAGAAAAAAAAACAGGGACTAACTTTGAAAGTAGAAATGGATTCATTAACCATTGATAAGTATGGGAAAATTGCCGTTTACCCCAGGAAAATTCATTTTTTTTGGCCAAAATGAACAGTTGTTATCCCTTTAAGTGAATATTCCAAGTTCCTGTGTTATATTTTCAGGTGGATTAAAGAAGATAGGATACCTTTTGTAAACGTTACAAAATACTTTCCAGCAGATTTTAAGTTACAGAATTACGACTCTCAGACTTTTAGTTGCAAGGTAAGAATCAGTTTCAGACGCATGGTTTAATTGTACCACATGGCTAGTAACCATGAAAACCTGGGCTGACTTTGGGCATGAAGAAAAAAATATGGAAAGTTCATCTCGTGGAGTATTGCCAGCAGTTTTTTTTCCTCTCTGCCTTGAAAGTCTGTTTAACTGAAAAATTGTTTTGGTTAGTAATCATCCTTAAAATGATCGTACTTTAGACTGACCTTTGGACTCACAAAACATTCACATTCCTGTGGTCAGTTAATCAGAAAACGGGGAAAGGGCAAACTGAAGTGTGCAACACCCACTGAGGTGAAATAATATTCTGCCATTTATTCTGTTTAAAATATCATAAATTAGCAAAAACGTACATACGTGACGTATATTGTAGAAACCTAGTGATGGTATATCAACTGAATGTCAACTGAAGATGTACATTTTATTATGTTTTTTTTTTTTTTTTTTTTTTTCAAATTAGGCTCATTTTTTATCATGTCTTCTTCAAAACATGATAATTATTATGTTTATTTCCCACTGAAGATAGGTATACTTATAGTGATTAAAGGCCAAAAGAAGACATAAAGATATATTTATAGTATGTATTAATGAAGTGATTAAAGGCCAAAAGAAGACAAAGATATATTTTTAGTATGTATTAATGAAGTGATTAAAGGCAAAAAGAAGACATAAAGATATATTTATAGTATGGATTAATGAAGTGATTAAAGGTCCAAAAAAGACAAAAATAGTCCACTTGTTTGATAATTTGGGTATTACATGTCTTTCGCCTAGATTTGATGTATAAATAGATTTGGCCTTTCAGGTTGCTTGATTATCAATAATAATTACTATAGTTGAACATTGTACTATACTGGTAAAGAAGTCACATGCATTTTATTATTATGAATTTTTTGTAATGTTATTAAATTTAGATAGCACCCAAAACAGTTCAGTACAGTGTCATACATATTTTACATTTATATATATATCCAAGACCCCTTCATAATGCATGATCCGAGTATTTACTGATCTGCCAACTAATTATGGCTGACCACAGTTCAAAAGTGATGCTGCCAATTCCTGATGGTCTCCCCTACTCCACACGCATCTTTAAACGAATTAAATATCTGCACTGAGGTTTAATTGCTTGGCCCTTGCAGCAACAGTGTGTGTGGAGGCATGGAGACCATCAGAAATCAGCGGCATCGCTTTTGAATTATGGTCTGCCATATTTAGTTGGTGGATCAGTTAGTACTTGGATCAACCATTCTGAATGGAGCCTAAAAAGTGATACTTTTCAGGGATGAGATATGTCAGACTGCTGGTGGATTTCTGACTTTCTGGGAGCCAAAAATACCTTTCTTGAGATCGACGCAGAAGGGGTTGGGGAGGTAAACCATTTTTTCAGACCTTTTTCACTAAATGGCAGTCTCATCCCTGTATTTTGCTTGGTCACATGTCTGTCTAGACTATGTATGTATGTATTGAGTGATGAATGGTGATTTCAGACCATTCCCACAGCTGAAAGGATCAGGTACAATACTGGTAGACTGGCCTTGTTTCTGGAACTCAAGAACGTACCAGACGTGGATGTGCATATTCTTCTGAGTAGATATGTCATGGAAATGAATTTACCTGGTAGGACAGCTCCTCACGATGTTTGATAATGATTTCTCATTTATCTGGTTGGTTAACAGGAAGTTTTAAGGAAAATCATGTTCAACATTTAAATTAATTATAGTTCTGCAAATCAGTGTAATAAATCATTAAATTGTTTTGCAATTTGCTAATTGAATAATATTGTCATTCGTTACAGCATGGTAAATTTGTCTCGCAGTCAGTAGACTATCATTGTCTATGCAGTGCTAAATACTATCAAAAATTAGAGAGTCTTTTTTTGGAAAGTTAGAGAAAAATACCCCTTACCCCAGGATATTTTATTAACATTAAAATTATTTATATTTCTGCAAGCCAGTGAGATTAGTCTAAATCATTTCCCACTTTGCTAATTGAATATTATTGTCTGGCAATAATTTTCTCACAATAAATAGACTTCTTCTATGAATGAGTGCTTGGCCTTTCATCTTGAGGTTCCAACTCTAGGCATTACTGTATAGTTCATGCATTTTAAACTAAAAAACTAAGACAAGTAATATCAGTACCAACTTCTTATTGCCTTATGGGGGAATGGAAAATTTTTACTTTTACATTTGAAAATTGTATTGGCTGCTTATCATTTAAGACTGTCACTAGTTACTGATTCTATCAGTTTTGATATATGTANTGTCTGTACATTTGACAGCTTTGCTGCCTTGTTTGTAATGTTATTAAATTTAGATAGCACCCAAAACAGTTCAGTACAGTGTCATACATATTTTACATTTATATATATATCCAAGACCCCCTCTTAATGCATGATCCGAGTATTTACTGATCCGCCGACTAATTATGGCTGACCACAGTTCAAAAGTGATGCTGCCAATTCCTGATGGTCTCCCCTACTCCACACGCATCTTTAAACGAATTAAATCTCTGCACTGAGGTTTAATTGCTTGGCCCTTGCAGCAACAGTGTGTGTGGAGGCATGGAGACCATCAGGAATCAGCGACATCGCTTTTGAATTATGGTCTGCCATATTTAGTCGGCGGATCAGTTAGTACTTGGATCAACCATTCTGAATGGGGCCTAAAAAGGGGATGAGATATGTCAGACTGTTGGTGGATTTCTGACTTTCTGGAAGCCCAAAATATCTTTCTTGAGATCGATGCAGAAGGGGTTGGGGAGGTGAACCATTTTTTCAGACCTTTTTCACTAAATGGCAGTCTCATCCCTGTATTTTGCTTGGTCACATGTCTGTCTAGACTATGTATGTATTGAGTGACGAATGGTGATTTCAGACCATTCCCACAGCTGAAAGGATCAGGTACAATACTGGTAGACTGGCCTTGTTTCTGGAACTGAAGAATGTACCAGACGTGGATGTGCATATTCTTCTGAGTAGATATGTCATGGAAATGAATTTACCTGGTAGGACAGCTCATGATGCTCATGATGTCTGATAATGATTTCTCATTTATCTGGTTGGAAGTTTTAAGGAAAATCACGTTCAACATTTAAATTATTTATAGTTCTGCAAATCAGTGTAATAAATCATTAAATTGTTTTGCAATTTGCTAATTGAATAATATTGTCATTCGTTACAGCATGGTAAATTTGTCTCGCAGTCAGTAGACTATCATTGTCTATGCAGTGCTAAATACTATCAAAAATGGAGAGTCTTTTGTTGGAAAGTTAGAGAAAAATACCCCTTACCCCAGGATATTTTATTAACATTAAAATTATTTATATTTCTGCAAGCCAGTGAGATTAGTCTAAATCATTTCCCACTTTGCTAATTGAATATTATTGTCTGGCAATAATTTTCTCACAATAAATAGACTTCTTCTATGAATGCAGTGCTTGGCCTTTCATCTTGAGGTTCCAACTCTAGGCATTACTGTATAGTTCATGCATTTTAAACTAAAAAACTAGGACAAGTAATATCAGTACCAACTTCTTATTGCCTTATGGGGGAATGGAAAATTTTTACTTTTACATTTGAAAATTGTACTGGCTGCTTATCATTTAAGACTGTCACTAGTTACTGATTCTATCAGTTTTGATATATGTGTGTGTTGGCCCATTTGGCAGCTATGCTGTTTTTTCAACTTTTTATTGTTATTTCTAACAGGTGAGCTACATGCTATGGTGAGACGCCTGTACAAAACTACACTGAAGCAGGTTCACTTCAGGTAAGCTCTCTGTTTACTGACATTGGCCTTCAAACTTGGCAGTGGAATCAATGTTACTGGCCTGATTGGGGTTATCAGTAAATATGACCCAGTGGGGATATTACATGATTATTACAAATAATGGTTTTAGCAGCTTTTGCTGAAAGGGAGTGCTTGGAAATGTTTATTTAGCTCTCTGGCATGTAATGTAAAATGTCACGCGTATTGTGGGTGTGTCATAACTTGTGATCAAGGGCATTGAACTCCCAAGACGAAACTACATTGAGTCCATTGATAACAATGATATTTTTTCCTCTTTTTTTCTCTTTCACATTGCACTCAAAATAATATCTGAACCAAGTAAGTATATAACTTGGCTTGGTTCTTAGTTTCACATGAGCCCATGAAATGTAGCACAGGTGCTGAGTTTACTTATGCACTGCTTTGGCGTGCCTTCCGATGCACACTAAAATCAGCTGAATTGGGGCATAAGTAACGTGAAGGAGACGAAATGTCAGGGTTTCAATAAACAATAAACTTCATGTACCCCCTTGTTGGGAGTTCAAAATTGAGGCTTAAAATAACTGTTGCCATTACACTTTTAACAATATGATTTTAATTAAAGGGATAAGGTCTATATTTCACAATAAAAACATTGTGAATAACTCATAGAAATATAATATATTCTGTTTTACGACAAAAACAGCAGTTATAGCTATTATTCTGATATCTCAGCTTGTCTTCAAACCACGTGACCTCCATTGATGGCTATACTCTGTTATAATCTCTTAAGAGATTTTAACAAAAAACCAAACTTTTTAGAAAAAAACCAGGGACTTACTTTGAATGTAAAAAATGGATTCATTAACCATTGGTAAGTATGGGGAAATTGTTCTTTACTCCAGGAAAATTAATTTTTTGGCCAAAACGAAGAGTTATTATCCCTTTAAGAAGGCTTTGTATGCTATTACATATGTTTTTCTGCAGGGGGAATGAAAATGGCAAAGGGAGTATAAAGCACAGCATTCCCAATTATGAAGCTGTTGCCATGGCATACATAGTCATTATCCTTAAACTATTACTTGGACTTGATGATCACACAGAAAGGTTGGTCAGATCTTCAGGAGTTTTTTTATATATATATAACTGGCTATTTTGTTACTTAACTTTTAGTAAAATGTATCATTTCATTAGAAATCAACACTCAAAATTATGAAAGGCACTTAAGTCCAAAAATTTAACATAAAATTCTATTCTCCGTGAAACATAATTTCAACTGCTTAAATGCTTACATTTCACCACAAAAAAATGAAAATAAAGAGCAATGTTTTTTTTTTCAGAGAATTGTCTCGGTATGCTACAAGATTATCAGACATACTTCAACCAAGTGAGTTTTACCTTAGGCCTTCAGTGAGGGGTTTCTTTTACCCCTTTAGTGGATACAGCTTGTAAAGTGGCATAAATCATAAATCAAAGTCGGATTTAGAGTGGACTTTTTCCACCCAAAAGGTTTTTTTCTCTCCATATCTCCTGAACCCTCCTTGCGTACAGCTCTGAAAGGCAAAGATGATATTTTAAACTGCTTATCATGTTTCTACATGAACACTTTTGAAAATTTGCATTTCATAAAAAAAAAATTGGAGAAGTTACAAAAATTTTCAAGTAACTTAATAAATCCAGGTTTGCTTGTTGATTAAGGAAATGTCACCTGTCCTGGCATAGGTGCTTTCACAGCCTTGAGTCACATTTCTTTACTGAATATAGTTATTTGATTCTGTTCGGTGAGCAAGGTAGGCTAGAGTGCAAGAGCACTGATCCAGCACGTGGTGTGAAAGGCATTGACCTCAGATTTATGTGTCTAAATATTTTCACATTTGGATTTCTTTTCCAGAGCAGCCTCTGTTTATATGGGAGGACTGGGTGCACTACATGGAAAAAAAATTGTCAGTCAAACAGTCGACATTTTCTCTGCCTAGTAATGAAAGGTACTAACAACAACTATGGCGTAGTTCAAGTTCAAGGCCACTTAATTTGTGTATTTATTTAAATGTTTATCTACCATAAAAAAGAATTAAGAATGAATAAATATAGAAAATTTAGTTTTATTGCACATTGATTACCTTAAGGCCTCTTGGTTTTTATAAACTACATTCTTTATTGCAACAAAGACCATGGTCATATATTGTATTCACACTGTACACTTCGGTGTCTGTATATTTACCAGAGTTGTTGACAATTTTTATCCATTTCAGAGAAGTTCAGCTTACTTCCAATATAAGTGGATGTCTGGCATATCACGACTGTAGAATTCAGGGAGCACAACTCGGTGGGCAGAGAAACCTAAAAAGTAAGTGTTAAAATTCTGCCTTAAGAAGTAGAAAGAGTGAGATAGCAAATAGTTACCTCGGTTTATTTAATTTCAGTTTGGCTCCCACTGTTGGAGGTATTTCAAAAAAATTTATGTTTTGACATACAAAGAAGACACCAGTCAGGGTTGTGTGGCATTAGCTTTATGGTAGAAAGTGTCTTTCTTGAAGGCATTTTGATTCAGAGAAAGTCCATTAAGTTTATATTGATTTCCAAGAACTAAAAAAATAATTTCTAGATGCATAAGGCTTTTTTAATCCCTTAAAGACATTGAGAACTGTGAAAGGTTGGATATATGTTTAATGGCCATTGACTGCTGTGTAGCAAAGTGGTTTGGGTGGGGTGCCACTGTGTGTGTGCCATTCTGGAAATGAATGCAAGTTAACCAATGCCAGTATGTCAGTAAAATGATATCCCACATAAACCTATTATTATTATTATTATTATTATTATTATTATTATTATTATTATTATTATGTTAGAATTATGATAGACCTCAAGGCCTTTTATGTACTATAAATATCTTTAAACAATATAATTTTGTTAAGTCTGGGGTTATTTCAAATTATATAAAATTTACAATGGCAGTTTCCCTTTCATCATTCCTATTATTATTTCAGGGAAAAGTCTGCGTAAAGAAGCTAGGGAGGCCATTCAGATGCCCTTCACAATTTTGATGGAAAGACTCAACCTAACGGATCCTCAGCCAACCATTGATCCCCCATCGCTAACCTCTCCTGCGTCCACCAAGCATTCAGAACTGACCACTGGGTCAGCTGACACTTGTAAAGAAAAAGACTTCAGCGTTTGTAGTCTGAAGTATTTGATAGAGGATGCAGAGTTCTTAGAAGAACTGGAGAAACAGGGTCTGTCCGACTTCACCATATCCAGTGCCTTGGAGGCTGAGGATTCAGAGGAGGAGGAGGAAGAGGAGGGCAGTGGGGTGGATATGTTTGCCTCACAGGACAGTAGAAAAAGAGTCCGGAAGAAAAAACACTGTGGCTCTGTGCCAAGGAAGAGACAAATGCAGGAGGCCATACTGTCAACTGTAGGTGGTAAAACTGCCCCCAAGGATAAGATTACCATGAATGAGTTGCAAGACTTGGCACAAACACTGCTGAGAGCTAATGAGCGTTATGTTCTGTATAATGATCCCGGATTGAAAGAGGCTCACAGGCATAGGTCTTACTTGTGGTTGACTGATGTTTGCTGTAAGATAATTGAGTGTGATAAAAAGACCCTGGAGAAGGAGATCGAAGAACTAGAATTTGTTTATATTATTGCACAAGAAGACCTTGACAAGAAAAGTCAGCAGAGACGAATGAGATTGTTAAAAAAATTCATAATTAAACGTTGATGTCTTCTATTCTATTTTGTTTGTGATTTTTCTCATTCTATTGGGCATGAATTTTATAATTTATGTTATTCATGTGAGAGGTTTCAATAAACGACACCTTGGTACCGTAAAACCCAAAATGAATTGGCCAAAAGGGTGGTGTGTTTGACCCCTTCCCACCCACCCCCTCACGAGCCTGATTATTATCAGGTGGAACAATGCCGTTGGTACTCCAGGCAACTGTCAGCAAGATATTGGCATGGTTGACAACAAATCACAAACCCCTAATTACGTTTTTCCATTAAATACAGTCATTGTTTCACCTCTTTACTGAAATTAGAAGTAAATATTTCAAGCATATTCCCATGCCCCAGTTTCACACACACGCACACAAAAACGCATTAGTTACTCTTTTGGCTTAGTTAAGTAGGGATTCCATAATAGTGCAGTAACGCTTCCTAGGATGTGATGTGACCATGTAACGTTGGTAATTATCACTAGTTTTTTTTTTTTTTTTTTAATTGGTGTCTGGCATTTCCGGTGGACAGTGTGACGTGATCCCGACCGTCACAGATTACAGTTTCCACCCCCCACAATGCAAGGCCTACTGCTTTATCATCTCGAATTAGCAAAATTAACCCCGATGTATTTTTAATATGGCAGCATTATCTCTAATAATGTTTATTACTGCATTATTGAAAAGGATAAGGAAAATACTCCAACGTATCGAGCCCCCTTTATTTATTGATTTATTTCTAAATGCCCGTCACCTGGACCGCCATTACTTCCTGTACATTTCAGGTGGTTTTATTGTCTATTAAAAGTATTAATTCGGAAAGATAATAACTTTGTAGGGTATGTATACATAAAAAATGAGATTTTTAAGAACATTTCCAAACGCGGATGGTTTTAATAATTCATGGTGATAAATGCCGTTTGTTGTTCCCCTAAGCCTTCCCCTCCGAGCTTGCCATATAGCGTGACTATCGGGAGTCTAACGTGAACAGTATTCTTGTGGAAAATTACTTCACCATCTTATCCCCAAGAGAAACCGCCTTCTATTGGTTTTTACAGTACCTGACGGTGAGGACTTTTATTGAGGCAGATTTTCAAAGAGCACTGAAGGCTCTTTTTATTAATTGTCACGCAATTCTGGCTACTTATGCCGTCTGGTTGTGCCAGCACAGTAAAATCTTTGAATTGGCCATACAAGCTAGGCCTACAGACGGTGCACTTAAGTAACATCTGTATAACGTCGCGTACCATTATTAAAAATCGCTCCAATATTTCCATTACGCATTTGAAAAGCCAAAACACAATGTGAAACAAATTCATCTATTCACAGCTAGAGTAGCATTGTACGTTACCACTGTCTATCCCGTGGCGGATTTAGGGGGAGGGGTCAGGTGATTCTGACCCTCCATTCGATTTTTGAAAAAAACGCTAATGGCCCCCTCTTGAAATTAGAATTTTGACCAGCTGAATCATAGTTCTAAACCGCACCAAATGGCACCGTTCGCCCTCTAAAATACCAAAAAATTCGGAGCCCTTCTGCGGGCCCCGAACCCCACGCCAACGGGGGAAAGGGTGGAAGGGTCGGCTTCGCATCCGCGGAACCCCCTTCAAATAATCCTGGATCGGCCCTTGTCTATCCGTTAGTCAACAGTTAGCTCTAAAAGTAATGGCGGATTTTTAAAAATTCAGGATAGGTCAGAAATACGCTCACTTAGAAACGATTAGATTTTGTGGGCAATTCCTTATGTAATTAATTGATGATGAGAACTGGCTGCCTTAGCGGAGTTGTGCGCATTCTGAGTGCTTTTCTAGTTTCTAAATTGCATTCAAATATTTTATATTTATAAATGGGTAATATAACAGCAGTTCCCTGCCGTGTCTCCCACTACCTTGTTAAAACGTTAATGAATACGCCTTTTCTTTCTTAATCTGAATTCGATGCAAAAATGCAACGAGACAGAAATCTTAAAGCTTCACTGGTTGAACTTGCAGACGGTGTAATTCTTGTTTGCAAAATTTGACAATATGCATAAAAACCGTGATCGTGTGTGCCATTAATTAATACCACCCACGTTTTGGACGCGGCTAGTTGAATTCGGCAGAGATATACACAAAATTAAATGGATTTCTCGGGTTTTAACGGGTTCTAGTGGCGAAAGTCGACTTCATTTACATAAGTAACTTAGACTGCTAAAGGGTTGAATAGTGGAGAGAGGGGGAAAAGGCCTCCAGGTCAAATCCATACAAAGTGTGCTAGGTGTTTATATACTGTATCAATATTATACTGTATCAAAATTCAAACCTGTGAATTTCACCAATTTTCCATTTATCACCAGGGCATAGTCTGTCCTAAACTGAAACTAAAATTTCGATTCTGAAATCAGTTCTCGAATTCTATAAATTTCTAATTTTTACAGTCACGTGTGTAATTCGCCAGTTGCTACCTTTAAAAATACAAGATTGACTCAAAAAAACTGATTGATGGATCGTAATTTTGCAGTGTTAGGTATATGTGACCCTTGCCTTTGCACTCACTACGGTGATTAGATTTATGTAGGCTAAGCTTTAAAATACGGGACATTAGACACTCTGTTTACAATAGGTCGAAGCCGTTAATATAAGAATTCACTATTGTTTCCTTGAAAATCCCATTGACACGAAAAATCATAAATGTGAACTCACTTCGTTATGATAAAAGAAACAGTTTATTTGACGTTGATAGGCCTATGGTGCGAAATAAAGACAGAACTCACACTGAATACATATATGAGTGTATCACAATATTTACTTAATTAGCCAACGACATTAGAAAAAAAATACTTCATAGTTTCGGAAATACTGTAACTGCATACTGATGATACGGTTGACATTGTTGAATTAAATACAGTACTTCATGAGATTGTTCTTGTCTTAAATCTTCATCCATTTCTCCTTTTAGATAATNTGGCCTAATGTTTATTACTGCATTATTGAAAAGGATAAGGAAAATACTCCAACGTAACGAGCCCCCTTTATTTATCGATTTATTTCTAAATGCCCGTCACCTAGACCGCCTTTACTTCCTGTACATTTCAGGTGGTTTTATTGTCTATTAAAAGTATTATTTCGGAAAGATAATAACTTTGCAGGGTATGTATACATAAAAATGAGAATTTAAGAACATTTCCAAACGCGGATGGTTTTAATAATTCATGTTGATAAATGCCGTTTGTTGTTCCCCTAAGCCTTCCCCTCCGAGCTTGCCATATAGCGTGACTATCGGGAGTCTAACGTGAACAGTATTCTTGTGGAAAATTACTTCACCATCTTATCCCCAAGAGAAACCGCCTTCTATTGGTTTTTACAGTACCTGACGGGGAGGACTTTTATTGAGGCAGATTTTCAAAGAGCACTGAAGGCTCTTTTTATTAATTGTCACGCAATTCTGGCTACTTATGCCGTCTGGTTGTGCCAGCACAGTAAAATCTTTGATATGGCCATACAAGCTAGGCCTACAGACGGTGCACTTAAGTAACATCTGTATAACGTCGCGTACCATTATTAAAAATCGCTCCAATATTTCCATTACGCATTTGAAAAGCCAAAACACAATGTGAAACAAATTCATCTATTCACAGCTAGAGTAGCATTGTATGTTACCACTGTCTATCCCGTGGCGGATTTAGGGGGAGGGGTCAGGTGATTCTGACCCTCCATTCGATTTTTGAAAAAAACGCTAATGGCCCCCTCTTGAAATTAGAATTTTGACCTGCTGAATCATAGTTTTAAACCACACCAAATGCCACCGTTCGCCCTCTAAAATACCAAAAAATTCGGAGCCCTTCTGCGGGGCCCGAACCCCACGCCAACGGGGGAAGGGGTGGAAGGGTCGGCTTCGCATCCGCGGAACCCCCTTCAAAGAATCCTGGATCGGCCCTTGTCTATCCGTTAGTCAAAAAGTAATGGCGGATTTTTAAAAAATCAGGATAGGTCAGAAATACGCTCACTTAGAAACGATTAGATTTTGTGGGCAATTCCTTACGTAATTAATTGATGATGAGAACTGGCTGCCTTAGCGGAGTTGTGCGCATTCTGAGTGCTTTTCTAGTTTCTAAATTGCATTCAAATATTTTATATTTATAAATGGGTAACATAACAGCAGTTCCCTGCCGTGTCTCCCACTACATTGTTAAAACGTTAATGAATACGCCTTTTCTTTGTTAATCTGAATTCGACGCAAAAATGCAACAAGACAGAAATCTTAAAGCTTCACTGGTTGAACTTGCAGACAGTGTAATTCTTGTTTGCAAAATTTGACAATATGCATAAAAACCGTGATCGTGTGTGCCATTAATTAATACCACCCACGTTTTGGACGCGGCTAGTTGAATACGGCAGAGATATACACAAAATTAAATGGACTTCTCGGGTTTTAACGGGTTCTAGTGACGAAAGTCGACTTCATTTACATAAGTAACATAGACTGCTAAAGGGTTGAATAGTGTAGAGAGGGGGAAAAGGCCTCCAGGTCAAATTCATACAAAGTGTGCTAGGTGTTTATATACTGTATCAATATTATACTGTATCAAAATTCAAACCTGTGAATTTCACCAATTTTCCATTTATCACCAGGACATAGTCTGTCCTAAACTGAAACTAAAATTTCGATTCTGAAATCAGTTCTCGAATTCTATAAATTTCTAATTTTTACAGTCACGTTTGTAATTCGCCAGTTGCTACCTTTAGAAATACAAGATTGACTCAAAAACTGATTGATGGATCGTAATTTTGCAGTGTTAGGTATATGTGACCCTTGCCTTTGCACTCACTGCGGTGATTAGCTTTATGTAGGCTAAGCTTTAAAATACGGGGCATTAGACACTCTGTTTGCAATAGGTTGAAGCCGTATATAAGAATTCACTATGGTTTCCTTAAAAATCCCATTGACACGAAAAATCATATATGTGAACTCACTTCGTTATGATAAAAGAAACGGTTTATTTGACGTTGATAGGCCTATGGTGCGA